ATACAGATACACACCGATACCGATACAGATACACACCGACACCGATACTGACACCGACACCGATACCGTTACAGGTACACACTGACACCAACACTGACACCAACACCGATACCAACACCGACACCGATACAGATATAGATACACACTGACACCGATACTGACACTGACACTGACACCGACACCAGCAACGATACCGATACAGATACACACCGACACCGACAACAATACCGACACTGACACAGATACTGATAGTATTGATACTGCTTCCACTGCTGATATTGATCCCTTCTGCCCCTCTCTCCCAGGGTGCGGGGGTGATGTCGGTGTACCTCTTCATGAAGCGCTACGCGGAGGAGGAAATGTACCGTCCCCACCCGGCTCTCTACCGCCCCCGGCTGTCCGAGTGCAGCGACTACAGCGGCCAATTCCTGCACCCCACGGAGAGCTGGACGCGGCCGGGGCGCGGGCGCAGCAGCTCTGAGGTGTCCAGCGACATCTCCATCCAGCTCAACCAGACCCCCCCGCCCCCGCTGCAGGCCCTCCCCCCCGCGCACCCCAAGGCTTCGGGGGGCATCCTGGGGGGCGCCTCGGCCAGCTACCCGCTGCCCCCGCCCTCCTCCGCCTCCTCCTCGTCCCACGCCCACTCGCACCCCCATCCCCACCCCCACAGCTCACACCCCCACTCCCACCCCTCCCAGGCCCTGCCCCTGTCCATGCCCCCACCTGCTGCCGGCCCCCCCCCTCGCTACCACGCCCACCTGCGCATGAGCGCCTCCCCTTGCTAGAGACAGGAGCAGGCAGGTGCAGGAGAGACTGAGATCCACACTACAGCACACAGGCTCGCACACTCACTCACTACAGCACACAGGCTCGCACACTCACTCACTACAGCACACATGCTCGCACACTCACTCACTACAGCACACTGGCTCGCACACTCACTCACTACAGCACACAGGCTCGCACACTCACTCACTACAGCACACAGGCTCTCACACTCACTCACTACAGCACACGGGCTCGCACAGTCACTCACTACAGCACACAGGCTCTCACACTCACTCACTACAGAACACAGGCTCGCACACTCACTCACTACAGCACACAGGCTCGCACACTCACTCACTACAGCACACAGGCTCGCACACTCACTACAGCACACAGGCTCGCACAGTCACTCACTACAGCACACAGGCTCTCACGCTCACTCACTACAGCACACAGGCTCGCACTCTCACTCACTACAGCACACATGCTCGCACACACACTACAGAACACAGGCTCGCACACCCACTCACTACAGCACACAGGCTCTCACGCTCACTCACTACAACACACAGGCTCGCACACACACTACAGAACACAGGCTCGCACACACACTACAGAACACAGGCTCGCACACACACTACAGAACACAGGCTCGCACACACACTACAGAACACAGGCTCGCACACTCACTACAGCACACAAGCTCTCACGCACACTCACTACAGAACACAGGCTCTCACACTCACTCACTACAGCACACGCCCTCACACTCACTCACTACAGCACACAGGCTCGCACACTCACTCACTACAGCACACA